ATTACCTAAGAGTTATGTCTCTCTCAGGCACATCTTTCTTTTTTGCCACCACTGGGGCTTGAACACAGGGGCTTATACTAACTTGTTTTTTTTTTTTTTTTGGTCAGTCATGGGGCTTGTCCCTAAGCTCTTTTTGCACTTACCACAGCACCACTTCCAGTTTTCTAGTCATTAATTGGAGATAAGAGTTTCAAGGAATTTCCTGCCTGGCCTGGCTCTAAACAATAATCCTCAGATCTCAGCCTCTTGAGTAGCTAGGATTACAGGCATCAGCCACCAGCCACCAGCTGACTCAGCTTTCTTGCTCATAGCTGGCACTCTGCCACTTGAGCCACACCTTCAATCTAACCTTTTGCTGGTTAAATGGAGATAGTCTTGCACATTTTTCTACTGTGATTGGCTTTGAACTTCCATCCAACAGGTCAAAGCCTTATAAGTTGTTAGAAATACAGACAGGAGCAATTGGTGTGCTTTCCAAACTGACCACCACCAATGGCTTCAGACCTTTTTGCTAAGCTTTGGAAACAGGCAGAGGCATGTGGACTGAGCTACAAAATTCCACATCCATACTTTTTAAATGTTTTTGGCCTTCTACCTTCCCTTCTGTTTGTCTTCTATGCATTTACAGTACCTTCAAATTGACTACCAATCTCCCCCATTCTCAACTCCTCTCACATAAACCAAAATGGCCCTTAACTATGATTCACTCTATTAGAACACCAAGAGGATAAAGTTGTGAATAACTGAAAACCCTCAGATTCTTTTTTTTTTAATTATAAAAGCAATTCATTTAGGGCCAGAGACCCTACATGTGTTAAAGCCTTGCCTAATAAACACAGGGTCTTGGCTATAGTTCCCAGTAGAGGGGGAAAAAAGAGTAATTTATTTAATAATACTTTCCCCCCAGAGTGAAAATAATTGTGTTCTCATTCTAGAGATGATCTGTTTTTGACCTATTGAAAATGGATTCTTTTCCTACTATTTTCACTCAAATGATAATAATACATTTTGAAACATTCAGAAAAATGTAAAATATACTTAAAACTCTCCACCCGCTTTTTAATGCCACTTAATTGGAAACTGAACAGTTTTCTGTTTTTGTTTTTCTGAGAGAGATGGTATTAGGGTTTGAACTCAAGGCTTCACACTTACTAGACAACACTTTTACGTCTGAGCCATGCCTCCAACCTCTTTTTCCACTGGTGTTTTCAAGGTAGGGTACTGTTTATGCCCAGATCAGCCTAGATTGCAATCATTCTATTTGTGCTTCCCTTTGTTGCTGGGATCACAGTTATATTCTACACCTCATGAGGCCACTGGTTGCGATGGAGTCTTGTGAACTTTTATGCTCAAGCTAACTTCAAACCATGAGCTCTCAATCTCCACCTTCCAAGTAGCTAGGAACACAGGTTTGTGACACTGAGCCAAGCTAGAGTTTCTTATAAAAGAATGTTTTATATCTGATAGAGAGAGAGAGAGATCTTTACTCTTTTGATGCCTTTTTTACTTAATAACCTTTCCTATTAGCAATTAGACAATTCAGACTTTTCCACTGACTAGAAATATCATCTTTTAAATACTGAAGTCACATAAAAATTTGGACCTATTTCTATATTTTCTCTTACAAAAATCTTTTTCTCATTCTTCAGTAAAAATTTGTTTATAGTTCATTTTATTTTGCTTTTTGAGACAGCAAGTTTCCTATGATTCTGCTTTATCTAAATGATCCTGGCTATTATCATCACACTGTTTCAGATGAGATTTAGAGTCATTTGCTAATACCTTATTAACATTCTTGGGAAGTGCTCTGTACTATACATATAAGCTAACAAACAACAGATTCTTCACCACTTTTTTCAAGATTTCTTTACACATTCTTCAATAGTTTTTAAGCTCCCTGAAAAGAGGTCCTATGAATTTCTTATATTTTATCACTGTGGGCTCCTATAAATTGGGCTTTTTCTCTCATTAGATATTCTAATAAACATCTGAATACAGGGCTGGGAATGTGGCTTAGTGACAGAGTGCTTACCAAGCATGCATGAAGTCCTCAGTACCACATAAACAGAAAAAGCTATAAGTCAAGCTGTGGCCCAAGTGGTAGAGTGCTAGCCTTGAGCAAAAGAAGCTCAGGGGCAGTGCCCAGGCCCTGAGTTCAAGCCCCAGGACTGACGAAAAAAAATTTGAATATAGGAAAACTGTTCATTACATGTTCATAAAATCTCTATGAAAAGAGATTAATTCTGTATCTATTTTATAGATGAGAAAAACCAAAGCACAGAATAACTTGTCTGGAAAGTAACATGATAGGGATTCAAATCTAAACAGTCTACTATAGTAAAAACTATTAAATAATTTTGCCACCTCTTGTTCAATACTATATTATATTTTTCTACCACATTATTATATTACCTAATATTACAGTGGTGATATTAAGGATTTCATCTTGTTTCTGTTTTAATTGAAATGTTTCTAGCTAATTACATTGCTGGCTTTAGATTTATGATATACTTCTTTTAATTATGTCAATACATTTACCTCATTCCAAAATCCCTCAAAATCTCAACACACTATTACAATTCTCCCAAATCTCACCGTTCAAAATTCTAATCTTATTATAAATTTAATGGGCAATGTAGAGCTGCTTTAGGGTAATAGTTATAAATATTTCCCCTGAAAAGCAGAGAAAATGGAAAGAAAATCACTGCCCCCAAGCAGTATTAAAGTTGTCTTTTGCTATGAAACTCTTATACAGTCATGAGTATGTGTGTGTGGCCATATGTTTTCATTTTCCCTAGTCATAATGTAGAAGTATTACTGATTAAAGACGTGTTTGTCAGGCAAATTGGCAAGTTTCTATCTTAGCAGACTTCTATGCTGTTCTCAATGCCACCCTTCATACCTGAACCTCTGCCCTTGACATCATCTTTCTTTTTATTTTTTAAAAAATAAAGAGTATCTAGCATATACTCAAAGCTGAGAAGTTCTATCAGCCTGTTTCCTGCCTGTACAGTTTTGAGGTGCTGACAGCTTGTCCTCTCTTGATTACATCAAGTACAAGCTGGTAGTGTTTCTACTGGTATAATATTCTCAAACACCTTTCATAGACAAGAGGTTCCTCCACAGATCTTGCCTGGATAATCCTAGCTCTATTTTGAGCTTATGCTTGGCTGCTAAAGGAATCTTATGAGTTCACCCTTGATCTCTTCTATGCTTGGTGTGACTGAATACTCCGACCTTCTGATCCGAGGTCCCAGCAATAGATTGTACAATGACTCCTTTGGGTTTTTCTCTAGAGTACACATTCCCAACATTAACTCACTTGATTTTAACTTCTTTGCCTCTGGATAGACTAAAATTTTCTAAAATCAAGTAATAGCCCTTTTTTGTTTAAGGGGTCTCCCCCCATTTTATGTCTCTACTTTTAAATTTTTTACTAAAAATGGCAAAAAAAAAACAGGGTGAATATTTAACATTTTGTTTGGTAATTTCCTCAGCTAAATGTCCAAGTTTATTTCTTGTAAGTTCTCCTTCCCATACAACTACAAGACATAATTCTGCTAAGTTTCTGCTACTGTAATAAGAATCCATTTTCCTCCAGTTTCCAACATCTTCCTCATCTTCTTCTGAGCCTGTATCCTCAACACCTTTAGGTCCATGTTTCTACCAATAGTCTTAACAATGCTTTAGGTATCTCTAAGTTAATGTTTTCCCTCTCCTGTTTTTTACTTCTGAGTCTAGCATAACCATTAATATTCCTGTTTCTAATCATATAGGGCTTCTCTACCATGGTCCTCAAAATTCTTCCAGAACATGCTCATTGCCTAATTTCACACTATCTCCACATTTTTAAGTATTTGTTATAGTAGTACCCACTTCCAGGTACTATAAAGTCTGTACTACTTCTGAGGACATGAGTAATTCAGGATAATCCTGTCTTAATTCTCCATGTGGCATAACATAGTCCCAGGTCCTGGGGACTGGGACATAGAGAGCCATTATTCTTTCTACTATATCCACTGATTACTTAAAATGAACTAGAAGAAATATACTCATTACCTTACTCATGTAACTATAATCCCTCTGTATAGCATCTTTATAATAAAATAATTTTTTTAAATGAGCTAGAAACAAACCGTAAGTTAAGGGAACCTAGTAAGACTCAGAGGGAAACATTAACAGCTAAAAGAAAAAAAGTGGCTAATTTATTTTCATTTTAAAAATAATTAGTGAATCTAGCAACGTAATGATAGGTTTTCTATTTCTTTCTTGTGGTAGACACTGAGCTGACAAAACCAACACCAATTTTCAATTCCTTCACCTTTTTCCCCGCACTTAATACTTGAGCTATAAAAGCTAGAGACATGCTTTCCTGACTTCCTCAGGGTAGTCATATAGCACCATCGTGCCAAATAAAATCTAAAAATTGCCTTGGGAAGAGCTATTGCATTCCTGATGAAAAAGGCAGATGGTGCTGGCACTCCCTGGCCTCCTGCCCAGTAGCTCTCCAGCCTTGGATGTGGTGCACAGCCAGTAACTTGGGCATCTATTTTGCAATAATGGAGCACATCCAAAAGAATTCAAGAGACAGTAGCCCAGCCACTGTTGAATGAATCAACACCACATTCTATGCCTCCAGACAGAGTTACATGAAGAAAAACAAGCTCCCATTTTATATAAGTCACTTTTTACTTCTGCTTTTCTGTTTGTTTTTTTTTTCAGCTGCAAGCTTTTCTAATTGAAGCTATATATATAACTGCCTGTTAAACACAAGCACCTTCCTTCAAAACTGCATTTTATTCAAAAAATCATATTCATGGCCAGGCGCCAGCGGCTCATGCCTGTAATCCTACTCAGAAAGCTGAGATCTAAGAAGAATGGTTCAAATTCAGACCAAGCAGGAAAGTTTATGAGTCTTTATCTCCAATTAACCACCAAAAATCCAAAAGTAAAGCTGTGGCTCAAGCAGTAGAACAATAGCCTTGAACAAAAACAGCTCAGACACAACACTCAGGCCCTACATTTAAGCAGCCAGAACCATCACAAAAAAAAAAATCAGGGGGCTGGGGGTTTAGCCCAGTGGAAGGACGCCCGCCCGGCGTGCGCAAGGCCCCCCCCCCAAAAAAAAAGAAACTACAAAAAAAAATCATATTCAGGTAAAAGCAAATATGTTATAATTAAATGTGTTATAATTATATAATATATGCTATAATTTAAAGGTAACTATAAATAATACTGTATTACTTTAGTGTTATAAATTTTATACATTCATTTTAAGACATTTGGAAACTATCAAGTTAGCCATATCCAAAAATATCCCAAGATACACTATTGATAATATAACAATATATTTACATCAACATTTTTACACAGATACATAAAATACATTGAAAAGAAAGCTACAATAAAATATATAGAATCCAACTTCTGTTTATACAAAATTTATTAAATTTTTCCCATATCATTAAAGATGTTTTAAAACTATTTTCAAAAATATCCCTCTTAATATTAACACAGAAACTTAATTTTAATAATGCCTGATTTTAACAATTTTAATACCATTTATAGTGTTGTGACATCACTGTATATACAGCAGTATAATGTCTGATTATTTTCTGAAGATAATTCCATAGCTGTGAATATACTAGGCCAAACAGATAAACCATTTCAGTCATTTAACAAATGCTGCCAAACTACTTCCTAGAAAAACTCAATTTATTACTCTACCACTTATGTAAAAGAATATCATTCTTCCTTATAAGTACATTTATGCTGCCTTTTTGTTTTATTGTCAACCTAATGAGTGAAAGTATTGTAACTCATTCTTGAATTTTATTTTATTTATTTATTTATTTATTTAGTCACTACTAGGAAATCTTGTGCTTGTGAGGCAGGAGTTCTACTTCTTGAGCCATGCCTCTACGCTCTTATTGCTTTTTTTTTTTTTGCCAGTCGTGGGGCTTGAACTATGGGTCTAGGCACTGTACCTCAGCTCTTCAGCTCAAGGCTAGCGCTCTACCTCTTGAGCCACAGCACCACTTTCGGTTTTGAGTGGTTTATTGGAGATAAAAGTCTCACAGACTTTCCTGCCCCAGCTGACTTTGAACCTTGATCCTCAGATCTCAGCCTCCTGAGTAGCTAGGATTACAGGCATGAGTCACCGATACCTGGCTTGCTTTATTTTTAAGGTAAGCTCTCACCTTATAATCATACCAGCCTGGAGTTCCATCCTCCTACTTGGGCTTTCCTGTGTCATTGGAGAGCTTCCCTGTGTCATTGGAGATGACAGGTACACAACATCGTATCCAGCTATTGTGCTTCCCCTGTACCTGGGGTAATAGGCATATACCACCATACCTAGCCACTGGGGAAGATGGAATCTCACAAACTTTTTTGTTGTTGTTTATGTTCAGGCTGGCCTTGAATCATAGCCCTCCATGTAGCTAGGATTACAGTCCCAAGTAGTTAGAATTATAGATTCAAACCACCATGCCGAGGTTTATTTTTTTAATTTTTTGCTTAGATTTTTTTTTTATATCTGTGAAAGTGACTACAGACAGCACCTTTTCAATCAGCAATGATATTAACTGTAAATGTTTAATTCAATATATCACTTATGTCCAGTTTTATTTATTTTATGAACATTTTTTAAGATACTCAAACCTAGTAGCATTTCCCTTTGGACTTCATTTATCATAGAGACTTTTTCACATGATGAAAATTGCACATAAAAAAAAATGCTTTAAGCCGGGCGGCAGTGGCTCACACCTGTAATCCTAGCTACTCAGGAGGCTGAGATCTGAGGATACAGTTCAAACCAGTCCGTGCAGGAAAGTCCATGAGACTCATCTCCAACAAACCACTAGAAAACCAGAAGTGGCACTGTGGCTCAAGCGGTAGAGCACTCACCTTGAGCTGAAGAGCTGAGGGATAGCGCCCAAGCCCAGAGTTCAAGCCCCACAACTGAAAGAATGCTTTATGATATGATATTCTTGTGAATTTGTATTGGCAGTCCAAAAAGTAAAATCAATAGAGAGCAGCACATAAAGATAAGGATCTTAGCTTCAATATTCATTATGCACATACCTGCTTGTAACAATGATCACATCCTCAGAGATGGTAGCCATTTCCTTGATAGTAAGGTAGCACATCCTCCTCAATGTTTGCTGAAAATTATTTATTAAAGGTAACAAGTTATTCACAGGAATGTTTTGTGGTTGTTGTTGTTGTCGGTCGTGGGGCCTGAACTCTAGGCCTGAGCACTGTCCCTCAGCTCTTCAGCTCAAGGCTAGTACTTTACTGCTTGAGCCACAATGCCACTTCCAGCTTTTTCTGCTTATGTGGTGCTGAGGAATCGAACCCAGGGCCTCATGCATGCAAGGCAAGCACTCTACCACTGAGCCACCTTTCTAGCCCAGGAATTTTTTTTTTAATTCTTTAAAAGTGAACACCCCTTGATGGGAAGGGGAAACAAAGGAGGAGGCTACAATGCTTGATAAGAAATGTACTCATTATCTTGCCCATGTAATTGTAACGCCTCTGTACAGTATTTTCACAATAAAAAATAAATAAAAAATAAAAGTGAACACCCCAAGGAGATTATCTTTAAAGAGTTTTAAAAATATTCTTATCCACCAAAAACAATTTTGTAAAAATACCTGGATAAGGCTGGGAACCAGTGGCTCATGCTTGTATCCCTGACTACTTAGGAAGCTGAGATCTGAGGAACACAGTTTGAAGACAACCTGGACAGGAAAGTCAATGAGACTCTGATTTCCAATAAACAACTCAAAAAGACCAGAAATGGAGCTGTGTCTCAAGTGGTAGAGTAGAAGCCTTGAACAAAAGAAGCTAAAGGACAGTGTCCAGGCCATGAGTTTCAAGTCCCTGGAACAGCATTTTTAAAAATCTGGATAAGAAAATATATAGACTACTATTTTCTTAAATACATGAGTCACTCATACTCTGAAATACATAGAAGCGTCATTTTACAGAGAGCTCAACATATACAATGACAATATAAACAAGTTGTTGCTTTTTTTCCATGTGTTAAAGGCTTATCCTGGAAAACATATTTTTTTTAAATTCTTTAAGTATATGTATGGAGAAGGCTAGAGGTTATAAAGTACCTACTCAGCAAGGATGAGGCCCTTAGTTCAAACCCTAGTACCATCAAAGTGAATGGAGAGATGTACATACACATTCTGCTCTTTCCCCAATTCATGGTAAGCCAGTGTTTCTCCTGAATCCTAAATGATTTGTAATTAGACAACTAAGTTCCATTGTCAATTATCAAAATTTCCAGATAAATTTCCCATCCCCTCCTTTCCTCAATGCCAACAGACCCAAAACTCCTCTAGTCTGTTCAGCCACATTCCTTACTAAATAACTGTAAAATTTTTAAGTAAAAAAAAAAAACAACTAAAAAATAAAGCTGGGTTCTAGTGACACACACCGGTAATCACAGCAACTTAGAAGGCTGAGATCTGAGGATCTTGGTTTGAAGCTAGCCTGGACAGAAAAGTCCAGTAGACTCTTATCTCAATTAAACAACAAAAAGCTGGAAGTAGAGATGTGGCTCAAGTAGCCTTGAGTAAAAAAAGCTCAGGGGCAGTGCCTACGCCCTGAGTTCTAGGCCCAGGACTGGCACAAAAAGAGAGTAAGGAGAGAGAAGAGAGAGGACAGAGAGAAAGACAGAGAGAGGTGGGGGAGGGGGAAACGAAAGAAAGAAAAACAGAAAAGAACAAAAGATTAAAAAAAAAAGAAACTAAAAAATATCAGACCTAATTCCACAGTCCAAGCTACAGAGAGAATCTGGTGGCATGTATTAAGCCCCTTAAGGAAACAGAGGGGAATAAGGATTCTAAACATGATTTAACAAAGCAAAATAATCAAACAGGAGGCCAAAATAGAGCAGACCACAGACATACAAAGCTACATGAGAAGAAAATGGGAAATAAATGTCAAAATTTCAGAGCTAAAGAAAATCCTACCCCCATAGTAAAAAATAAATAAATAAACCTATCATGCAAAAGCAGAAGAAAATGAGATGTAAATATATATATATATATATATATACACCTAAAACAGAAAAAAATTGGGGCTCAACATTAGTAGTCATCAGAGAAATGGGGAAATGGAAGTTAAAATCACATTTCAGATACTTCCTCAAACCCAACAAAATGGCAAACCTAAATAATTAACAGCTACAGTCTTAACAAAAATGTGCTTAAGGCAGTAAAATAAACTACATAAATACAAAAATACTGGATAAAATATGATCCAAAATTTTTTTAAGTAGCCATAAGCAAAATACACAGCAGTTCAGTTTCTGGAAGTGGAAATGAATTAAACATACATACTATATCATATTTATAAAGACTTTTTAGTTGATTGAAGACACTAAAGAGATATATTTTGATATATAATCTTAAAAGATACATGAATACCAAAGATAATCTTTCAAAAATATCTGTGTAACATGTATGGTATATATGTGTACACCAGAGGGGAAACAGGAAGATGACACAGAACTAGAGGGAATCAGGGAAAAACATAAAACAGCGGGACCCATCAGCTGCACTGGACATTGACCAAAATGAACTAAGCAACTTAATGGCAGCGATGGGAGGGAAGAAACAAGTGGGAAAGAGGAAACAGCTGATGCTATGCAAAACAAAAGAAATGTACATATCACCCAATGTGGAAGAAATAACTGTATCGAAAAGCTTATAGAACTCATAAATGTTATAGACCATGATAGACAATTTGCTCCAGGAAAGTTAGAATGTATTTGTGACTTTAACTGAGCATCACTATCCCACAATATTGTGAAATTTGGGAAATTATGTAACCACTTAATCACAATAAAAAATTTGAAAAAAAAATCTGTGTAAGAAAGTATTAAGAAATTTACTATTTCTTAAACAAAAATACATGATGCACTCACACCCTGAAAAACATCAAAGCTTATATATAACATAAAGTTTAGGAAGTATTAGATTCTAAAACATTCTTCAGATACAAACGATATTGCAGACAATAACTCAGAGATATGCAAGGAGTACAGAATAGGAAGGAAGGAAAAAAAGTAGCTGAGTAAGTCTAAATGAGCAAAAAAATGATATGCTACAAATATATATATATATGCAAATATATATGTACCTCGGGGCAGGGAATGTGGCTCAGTGGTAGACTGCTTGCCTCGCATGCATGAGGCCCTGGGTTAGATTCCTCTGCATCACATAAACAGAAAAAAGCCGGAAGTGACGCTGTAGCTCAAGTGGTAGAGTGCTAGCCTTGAGCACAGAGAGGCTCAGGAACAGTGCCCAGGCACAGAGTTCAAGCCCCAGGACTGGCAAAAAGAAAAAAAGATAGATAGATAGACAGACAGATAGATAGATAGATAGATAGATAGATAGATAGATAGATAGATAGATAGATGTGTGTCTATATATAATTAAGGTTAAAATGTCCTGAGATTTTCCATTTCCCATGAGCAGAAAAAAAAGATGAAGACGAATATTAGATTTTGGTAAGTCAAAAACCCAAAATGCAATTTTTGAGTGACCCCTAAAAACTTCTAAAGTATTATCTCACATGTCAGTCACTGATGCTCTTTTTATTTTTTTTCTTTCTGCTTTGTTTTAGTTTCTAGTACTACTTCACACTTATTTTTTTTCTAATCTGATAGTAATTCCATGTAGTGTATTCTATTTTATGTGGGTTTTTTTTTTGGTGGAGGTAAGAATATTTCCACTAACTACAAAATAATTCTTATATTCTGCTGAATACAAAAATGCAAAATATAAGAATTATTTGAATTCAGTGCCTTATACTGGCTAGGCAGGCACTCTATCGCTTAAGCCACATCCCCAGCCAATTTAGCTTTTATTTTTCAGATAAGGTCTTACATATTGTCTGGACAGTTTTGACTAGCCTGAATAGCAATCTTCCTATTTATACTTCCCAGATAGCCAGTATGACAGGTATGCCCCACTATGGGTACTATGATCTACTATGCTTTTTATTGGTTGAAATGAAGGTCTTAGGAACTTTTTGTCCAGGCTGGCTACAAATCATGATCCTCCCAATCTCAGCCTAAGTAGCTAAGATTATAAACAGCAGTAGCCACACCTACACCACATGTTACTTGTAAAAAAAAAATCTGGAAGTTCTATTTGTCCTCTTTATGGCTTCTTTCTTACTATTAATTGCTAATTATTTTAGGGCCACTGTTCACTCCACCTTTATCATTTCTGGATTTATACCCAATGACTCATTTTTCTCCTGTTTAAGGAACTGGGGATGTAATTCAAGTGGTAGAATAAATGTTTTCCAAGCGTGATGCCCTAAGTTCAAACCCCAGTACTGCCCAAAAAATTAAAGTAAGAATTTCTTTTTCTCCAGATTATGGATGACTGCTTGTCTGAGTTTATCTTTTTCTTCAACATAGAGTCTTCATCTCCTCAGCTTAAGTAATTGTGTCTCCTTAGCCTTATGCAACTGGGATTACAGGTATTTGCCACTATCCCTGGTTTACATGTCTGATTTTATTACTTGTTGTACATCACAAAATTTGTACTGTAAATGCTAGTTTTATAGTATTGAACTTTAGCATGAGGTTAGATTAATTGGGATTACTTTGTTTTTATTTATTCTTTTTTTAATTTAATATCTTCCCATACCCTTCTGGGAACTATACCAGATACCTTCTGAATTTACAAAGTCTTTCTATCCTCATGAACCACTCTAAGCTGTGTATCCTTCTGATTTTCTTCTGAACTGTGAGTAGCTCCTTTATGCATACATAGATCAACTCTTATCCAGACTCAGCAGATGGTTGGCTACCTTTCATTCTCTCCCTCCCCCTTTTCCTTCTTCCTCTCTGATATTCTGTCTTACAGATTCAAACTTTCTTGGCTTCCCCAACCTCCATCTGTCTTCTTAACTCAGAAAGAAGGCAATTGGCTACCTTTTCAGTCTGCCCTATTGGTCTGAGGCCTGTTAATTTGCCTCTGGGAAATTTACTAATATAATCCCAGGGCTCACCTAGTTTGCATCCCTTCTGAAAGTCAGTCTTGGAATGCCTTGTATCTAATGTCTAAAAAATGCTGTGTCACATATTTTGATTTTCTATATTTATAGCAGCAGACCCTTT